AGGTTGGAGCTCTCCTATGCGGCGCAGGCCCTGGCCCGCCGGTTGCCTCTGCCCAACCTCGCCCTCGATGACAGTGGCATCGGCCCGAATGGCCAGTCGGTGGGCGATGATTGCGGTCAGGAGAACGAAAGTGAAGAAGGAGAAGAAGAGTCGGAAGACATGCGAATCGAGGAGGAAGAGTTCAAGATGCTTCTGGAAGAGGGGAAGACTTACGTCGAACGGCCGGTGCCGCCACACCCGCGACACGGCCTACTGGACATGCTCGACGCCGTGTGGGTGCGCATCACTGCACGATTGCGGCAACACAAGATCGAGCAAGAGGAGTACTGGGGCGAGTACCGTGGCTTCCGCCATCCACCCGCCAGCGAGCTCGTCGAGATAGTGCGCAAGGTTTCTCACCTCTTCTTTCTTTTCGCATATCGTTTCCTTTTCTAGCCGCACCAGCTAACCTCCGATCTTCAAGCATGTGGCGGTAAAGAGCTTTGTGCAGGTGTCATCGCGACGGAATAACGTCATCGTGTGCCTGCTCGAGTTCACCGTCAAGCACCCACTCAACGGTCAAGAGGAGAGATACATCTTCAACGTGGTTCGTCACTGTCCTCACCGAGCCCGCTTCCCTCTGGGAGGGAGAGGGGAGAGAGAGGGAATGCGTTGTGTAGTTTTATGTTGTGCGTGCGTGCGTGCGTTCGCATTTTAACGGCAAGGTGACTTCTTCATGGACGGGCTGCAGAAGGAGGAGGTGAAGATGCGATACAGAAGCCCTGGCATGGGCGCCGAGGCTGATCAGACGTGGTTCCTCGAAATGTTCTGCTACCCGCCCAACGTGACCAAGGCCAAGCTCGTCCTCAGCAACTTGTACCGCACAGTGTGTACGCTCACCTCAGCACCCACTCACAACATTCTTATTAGATCGCTCATCTTTTAGGCAGGTGGTAATTCGCTGACGCCCAAGCGGAGGCACATCGACTGCGAGCTGCTCCTGGGCCTTTCTTCCGCTCTGGGTCTTGGCACCTATGATGTACTACGGTACTATTAACATCGTCTGCTTGCGCTCAACCGCTCACCGTTGCTCGCTCTCTCCCTGTGTTGCGTGGGCGTGTTCAGCGTTGTGAGGCTGATTGCGCTGAGCGCTGGTTGCCACGAGTCACTCTCGAAGCTGCAGCTAAAGTTACCCTTGTACGATCACATTGCCCCAGATCTTGACGCAGCTTAGTAATCGCTATTTTGACTATGACTGAGTAGTGTGGACAGTAGCGAGGATGATGACGACGACAAGTGGACCGAGGCCAACTCGTCTCCCGACATGTGCACGATGGTACCACCTTTCGACATGGCGTATCCAGAGGTCGATACCCTCTTTGCTCCAGGGAGGCACACACCAGTGGACCTCCTGCGCGAGCTCAAACTCTTTGGTACGCTTACGCGCCGCTGATTGACTGGCCCCAGCACTGATTCAGCGCCACTCCCACAATCATCATCCGTCGTGGACGCGATCTCACAGTGAGAAGGTGGCGCCTTCTACTGGAGCTACCTCGAGCCTATGTGGTGTGCCACGAACTCGACTGGGTGGAGCTTGAGGACGTTGTAACGCTTCTTCCTTTCATCTCGCCCGAGAAAGGTGCGTGGACTTCACCTTTCTCACAACAAAACGCCAGTGTTGACCTGGTGGCTAAATGTGATCGCGTCGGAAGGGGTGAGTAGTTTTGTGACGTGGAGGTCCGGGACAAGGAGATATCAGGGCAAGGCCTCTGTCAGGCTGCGAGTGCCTGACGAGAAGGGGCAACTTCGGATCACTTGCCGCCTGCAACAGGTGCAGCAACGAGTGAAGTTCTCGATTCGCGCCGCTGCCTCTACGGCTGCACTCCAGCGCAGGTACGCAAGCCACCGGCATCACTGGCTCCCCATGGCCTAAGAGCTGATTGTTGATTGGTTTGGGGTGGTTGGTGACCTTTGTGTTTGTGTACTTGATGGCGCAACAGGTTCTCCTTGCCCAACTATAGAACCGACGTGTTTTATGGGCACTTTGAACTGCCCAGCGCCCAACCGCCGTCAAAGTACATCAACGACCAAATGGCTGGACCCGGCTTCTTCGACCAGTTTGCGCGCACCTTCAACCTCTCGCTCCGCATACCGGGCACTGATCTGCGCGTGCAGGCGGCCGTCCTGTTGGCCGTGTGCTGCCTGTCGTCATGCACGCCGTACAACTTTCGAGAGAAGCAGCCCTTCATTGGTCATCTGGTACCACCCTCCACACCCACCTCATACCGCGTTCTCTGTTCAGTCACAAGAGCGCTGCGAACTGAAGACGCGCGGGCGGGGCCTCTCCTTTTCCCCATCAGAGGCCAGACACTCAAGGTCCGTACTGGGCCATGTGCAGACTCGCGTATGGTCCGTTCCACGACTGGCTCCGCGACGTCGACTGGCTCCGCTACGGCCACGTCCCTTCTGGCTGCTGACGTGGCACTCTGACTTATTGTTGCTCCACACAAAAACGAAGATGGAAGATTATCGCTCACACCAAAACGAAGATGGACTCAGGTGGCGAGAGCCACTTGGTCCACCTGCCCAGCGAGGTGATGGCGCGCGTGTTTCGCTGGCTTGATCCGTGTTCGCTCGCCAGGTGCGAGGCCGTGTGCCTCTCGTGGCGCGGCGTGTTGGCCCCCGCCCAGGCTGCTGAGGCGGGCTGCTCCTCTGGCGCCCACTACTGGATTTGGCGCAAGGCACCCCCTCCCTTATTTCTATTTTCTATTTTCTTGCATTTGTAATTATTTCATTTCTGAAATGAAATATTAAACTAAATTGTTTGTTATTAAAACACGGCCCAGGTCCACCAGAGCCACTATGGCTGCTGCGCGGGACCAGATGTCGCGTCAGGTGGGCCGCTGCAGGACTGGCGCAAGATGTGCCGGAACGCGGCTCGAGCCTACCGCCACTACACCAACCCGGCCCGGGCGCTGCCGCGTGCGGAGAGGCTGCAGCAGGCGCTGGCCTTCGCCATCGAGCGACACCACAACGTGGTGGTGGCCCAACTGCTGAGTGGTCGGTTCCAAGGCGGCGGTGGCGACGAGGGCGCACTGCCGTGGGAGGAGTTGCTGGAGCGCGCGGCAGTCGCGCCCAGCTTCAACCGGCAGAGCGGCCAGCCGCCACTCAACGTCGCCGCACGGTCGGGCAACGAGAGAGCGACGGTGATGCTCCTGGAGAAGGGCCTCTCGGTGACGAGCACCACCGTCAAGCTGGCCATACAGAACACCACCCGGACCGCGTACACGCTCCTGCTGCGGCTGCTGGAGCACACAGCCGGTGGTCAGATTCGCGACGCCAGCAGCCTTGAACAGGCGCTGTCGCCGCTCTACCTGAGCACCTCGAGCTTGTTCTTCTTGGCCGGTACCGCGCTGCTCCTTGCGTCACGTCGTGCTCTTTCGTTGTGTTCTGTGGTGCGTGTGCGCGTGTGCGTTACCCGGTTATTGTGTGCTGGACACTGACAGTTGGTGGGTGCTGCGTAGCGGAGTCGGAGAACATCGAGGTCATGCGCGAGGTTCTGGCGCTCCAGCCCGACGAGGGCGCTGTGGCACGAGTGTTGGGCGCCAGTGGAGCAACGGCCCACCCCACCCCGCTCCTGCACATGGCCTGCAGCAACCGACTACGCCGCACGCTGGAGTTTGTGCTCCCCCTGGCGTCGACTGCCCTTCTCGACCAGGATTGGGGCAGCGAGACGCCGCTCATGGTGGCGGCAACGAGCGGCGACCTGTGCATGACGAAGCAGCTGCTCGATCGGGGGGCCTCTGTCACGTGGTCAACCTTGCCCTCTGGCGAAGCGGTGCTGCACAAAGTGGCCAAGAGTGACCACCCTACGCTGGAAATGGTGGAGCTGCTGGTCGAACGAGGAGCCGACCCACTCGCCAGGACGGTAGGTTAGCCCCTCCACACGCCACACGCCAATACTCACCACACACACACACACCACACCACACACACACACACACACACACACACACACACACACACACACACACACACACACACACACACGGTGCACGACCCACACAATAGGGTCGAGGAGAGACAGCCCTCCGACTGTGTTTGGAAAAGCCGCCGGTGGACGTTCAGGGCGAACTGCTCAAGCCGGCCATCGTTAACTTTCTCCTCAATCGAGGCGTGCTGGATAGAGACAGCAGGCTGCACCTCCTCGCCCTCGTGTTGTCCTGGATGTCGGAGCACGGCATCCGGGACTACCAGAGCCTGCAGACGTCGGTGCTCGCCATTCTGCGGCTGCTCTTGGCCAGGGACCCGGCCGAGTGGAAGCGCCTCCTGCAAGGAACGACCGATCCCGAGTCAATCTGGCGACTGGCCGCGTGCAACTCGGCAGCCTTCATACGCCTGCTGGTGGAGCACGGGCTGCCGCTTGTCAATCCTGCGCCGAGGTACTACACCTCGTAACTGCAAGTGGTCCTTGCGTTCTTACCTGATCACACACGCAACACACGCAACACACGACACACACACAACAGCAAGTCGCCTCTCTTTCTAGTGCTCCAGGCCCCCGCTGCCGGGCTGCCGGGAAAGAAAGCAGCGAACGCCAGGGTGCTGCTCGAGCTGGGCGCCGATGCGAACGAGGCGTGGACGGCGGGCATCAGACCCATCCACGCGGTGGAGAAAGGAGAGAAGGAGCTGCTCGATGCGCTGCTGGCCCACGGCGCCGACATCAACGCCACCTATGGCGAAGGTCGCACGCTGCTCCACCGCCAGATCGACGCCGGGCCGCAGCTGCCGCGCAGGTGGCTGGAGCACCTCAAGGCCAAAGGCTTCGACTTCTCGCTGCGGTGGCGTGACCAAAGCTACAGCGAGTACTGGCAGCAGAGGCACCGCAGTGGCTCGCCCCTGGCTGACCTCCACAACCTCGTCCACGAGAGCACCGCCTTGTAAATGCGTGCGTCAATGTAAATCCATCAAACGACCGCGTTGAAGAGGAGGGCGGTAGCGCCAGTGTCCAACACTGGCATTCCCCGCTTTTATTCTGCTCTGCGTAAGACATTCTCCACACCACGGAAGTGAGAAAACGCTCGCAAGTACGTCACCAGCGACGCGTCGGTGTCTTCGGCGCTGCCGTACCCGGCGAGCTCCTCCATGTTGATGGTGCTTAGGTGCCACCAATCCTCCTTCTCCAACCCCACGTATTTGTCGGCAAACTTCCCTCGGCTGACGATCGCAAACCACTTCCCGACGTCGGTGCCCGGAACGTGCTTGTGGTGGTGGAGAGGGTGGGGGGGGTTGGTTACCTGTGACGACGACGATCTCCTTGTTGGTGTTGAGTGCGGCCGAGGCGATGGTGTTGTTGCCCGGAATGGTGAACGTTGCATTCCTCAATGTCGCCTACGGGCGCGAAATCTAACAACTCGTCCCTCGCGGCGGTAAAGTGTCGATGCATGGGGTGAGCCCGGTCCATCTAGATTCACTCAGGTCACAGTGGAAGTCGAGAGGGAGACACCCGCGGGTGTGCGACATGACCACCACACTGCAGCTGTGCGAAATGCAATTTCCTTTTGTTTTCTCGAGTATTTCTTGATCTCGTGAGGTTGCGTGGGCGACAACCAACAACGGGGCGAGAACAACAACACTAATGGATGAGACGAAGGGCAACGAGGGGACAGCGGCGGGAGCCGGGGCGCCGAGCGTTAGCAGTGGGAGCCTGGAGATGACGCCCGTGGTCACGGCGGCTCCGCCCGAGAGAGCCGCCGTCCCCCGCGAGAAGGACTACGATTGGGGTCGCACACTGGGTGAGGGCACATTCGGCACAGTACGCCTCACCCACTTCTCTCTTGAGCCACGCTGGCCTACCGAAGTTTAATGCGCAGTGCATTGTTGAAATCATCCCCCCCTTCAATACTGACTGAGAAAATGCCATCGATGTACAGGTGAAGCTGGGCACTGTCAAGACCCCCGGTTTCTCCTTCCCCGTGGTGACGGGCAGGACCTACGCGGTGAAGCTCATACAGAAGAAATTCATCATGGAGAAGAAGAACAAGGAGATCGTGTTCAGGGAGCGCAAGATCCTCGAGAAGCTCAAGCACCCGTTCATTGTCACCCTGCACTACACCTTCCAGACCGACCCGGCCCTCAGTGCGTCCCCTCTACCCTCTCCCACCAGTGTGGCTCTCCTACGCTCGAGGTGAACTCGTCGGCTGACTCCCCCCCCCAAATGTGCGGCTACGCGCAGACTTCGTGATGGACTACTGCGCCAACGGCGAGCTCTACGAACACATCCGCAAGGCACATACACTCTCTCCCTCCCGCTCCATCTTCCACGAAAACCTTCGGCCGTGCACGACACAGCTATGATGGATGTGAAGCATTGTTGTCTCGCTCTCCTCAGCCGGCTCTCTTACCTGGTGGGGCTGCCTGCGCGGTTGGGCGCTTCACTTCATCTGCAGATGGGCTCGTTGAGCGAGGAGTGTGCGAGGTGGTATCTGGCCGAGATCGTGGTGGCGCTGGAGCACATGCACGGACAGGGAATCGTCCATCGCGATCTCAAGCCCGGTTCGCGCGCCCCACCCCAACCATCAGCTGCGCAGCTGTTCCTTTCCTGTTGTTCTATTGCGTGACTGACCTTCTTCTTCTTCTCCTTCTCCTTCTTCTTCTTCTCTGTGCGCAGAAAACATATTGTTGAACGAAGACTGGCACATCAAGGTCATCGACTTTGGTACCGCCAAGGACGTGGGCAGGGGTGCGCATTCCCCAGATACTTCAGCAAAAAGGGAGGGGAGTCACATGGTGTTGTTCTGACATTCGGTTCTCTTTATCGTATTCGTAGGGCGCACGAACTCGTTCGAAGGCACCCCGGAGTACATGTCCCCCGAGCTGCTGGGAGACAAGAAAGAACTCGACACACGGTGCGCACCAAAAGACACCCCGATTCTTGCCTCTCTCTCCTTCTCCTGTGCTGGATGGGGGTGACTAACATGCCAGCACGCCGACGCGGGTTGTTCAGGGCCGATCTGTGGGCGCTGGGCGTGATGCTGTTCCAATTCCTCACCGGAAAGCTACTCGTCAGGTGCGTTGCTCTCTTCTGGATCGTGCCCACCGCCCATCTTTTCTCTCACTCTCGCGATTTGCGGCTGCACACAACAGAGGCAGCACGCCGTGGGAGACGATGCGCAAGGTGCGGGAGAGGGAGTTCGAGCCCTTCCCCGATTTCTTCCCGCCGGTGGCCAAGGACCTCTGCGAGAAGCTGCTGGTGCGACCCCCTCCCCTCCTCTCTTTCCTCCGGGGAACGAAGCCGGTGCTTTGTTCTCAGGGCTTTGTTGCAATTCTCTTTCCAACACGTGTTGTGTGTGTGTGTGTTTTCGCAGGTGAGCGAGCCGGATGAAAGGCTCGGGTCGAACGGCTTTGACGAGATCAAGTCGCACCCGTTCTTCGAGGGCATTGATTGGGAGGGTATCGTCACTGCCACCCCGCCGCCGCTTGCATCCAACCCCAACGTGCCCAAACCGGCCGAGACCACTCGGAGAGCGAGCAGCAGCAGCCTGCCCAACCTCGATGAGGTACCAGCGCAACCAAAGCGCACGCGCACGCGCACGCGCACACGCACACGCACACGCACACGCACGTAATCCTAATGGAGGCATGCTCGCAGGTCGAGGCGGAGGCGGATGAGACAGAGGTGATAGTGCAACCGACCGCCGGCCGGCCGGCTGCCACTTCGGTGGAGAGCGAGGAGAAGGCCGGAAGGAGCGGGTCGGGCATCTTCTCCTCCAGCCCGCGCACCGACCCGGAGGACATCGAGGCCAACACCTCGGAGTGGTACCATCCCACTGCTCTCTTGTCCCGTGCGTGCGCGGCGGTGCGGTGCTGCGCGTGTGTGCGTGTGCGTGCGTGCGGTGGGTACCACGGCGACTCAAAGTGCACGGGAATGAATGGATGCAGGAAGGAGTTTTTGGGCGACACGGAGAAGGTGCTGCGTGCGGCGCTGGTGCACAAGAAGCGACGAGTGTTCAACGTCAAGAGAAGACAGCTTCTCCTTACCGACGCCCCGCGCATCATCTACATCGACCCCGCCACGAGGAAGGAGATGGGGCGGATCACGTTCGACATCGTCGTCAAGGCCATCGCCAAGGATCCCGCGCACTTCATCATCCAGACCGTACGCCACGCCCACCTGCAGTTCACCCTCTCCCCAGGGTCTCTCATAGCACATTCCTCACATTCTGATGTGGCCTGTGTGTTGTGTGTGCGTAGAAAAAGCGGGACTACTCGTTCGAAGACAAGGCGAAGAACGCCCAGGCGTGGGTGGACGCCATCAACAAGCATCTCATCCAGTAACCCACCAACACTAGAATCTCTTCTTCGGATTGCTGCGGCGCCCAGCAGTCAAGTCCAGCCTCGACTGCCTCGCCGCAGTCTTACTTTCTTACCTACGCACCACGCACCTACTCGATACCTGCTCGATGAGCCTTACTCTTCTAGAACGTCTCTTTTATGCGTGCATTGCATTGTCACCGCGCGAGGAAGTGAAAACAATAAAGCTCCTGTATCATACGCGTGGCGTTGGGGGTGGCGGCCGGCACACACCTTATTTGAGGCCGAGGGCCTGGAGGTAGGTGTAGAGCCGCTGACGTACGTCCTTGTTGTAGAGGCCCCACGGCTTCACTCCGTTGAGCATCCCCACACGCTCGGTCCAGTACATCCACGGCCGCCGGTCGGGCTTCAGCTGGCCTGGAAACAGGGCAAGGGCGGAAGAATGAGGTTGCTGCGAGGGAAGTACACCATGAGTAGTGGGAGTACTGACCGGAAGCGACGTCGCAGCAGTCCTGCTGTTCGAAAGCCATGACATTGAAATACCACTGCCCGTCCACCTCCGATTTGGCGGCAACGCTGAAGTCGGCGCGGATGGTCGTCATGTAGCACAATCGCACCTTGTCCTGCAGCGAGTGGCACAAGTGTGTATCTCGGGAGGTAAGCGAATAAACGCTACGAGCTCTGTCACCCGGCCCACGCACGCACCATTCCATGGGTGTAGATCTCACAGCAGATGATCTCCAGCAGCCGATGCAGTATTCGGGCGTGGGCCACCACACTCTCGCTGGGAGGGCTGTACTTGTCCTGCAAGGCAGAGAGGTACGTGAGGCAGGGCGGTTAGCGGTAAAAGGTGGTGGGGTTGGATTACCTGGATGTAGAAGGGCCACTTGCCGTCGATAGTGATGGGCTGCAGAGAGGAAGCCTCGCAGATGGACTGCAAGAGCGGCGCTATGTCGGGTGCCTTGACGCGGACCTCTGATGTGGTGTCAGACCACCACAGGTGTGAGGTCGTGACGTGCAAATCACAAAGAAAACAAGAAAAAGAACGGCTGATGATGGGGAGTGAGTGACTCACCGGGGGTCTCGACGCTTTCGACGAAGAATTGCATCTCCTTGACCCGCTCGCCGCCCACCTTGTGGGTGTTTCGTATTTTGGTGGCCACGGCCGCGACCTCGTACATGATGGCCGGGTCCGATGCCTCTGGAGGATTGTCGACCAGCTCCCAGTCCGTGTCCACCTTCAGCACGTTGGCCATCGTGCGCTTCGGATCTGAATCGTTATTATTAGTTATTATTAGTTATTGATCTTATTGGATTAACGGATTATTTTAAAAGCAAGCCGTAAGCGAGGGGGGAGGGAGCACCGATGAGGGCAAATTCTTCGTAGCCGTCGAGGTCGTAGCCGCGCTGCTTGCTGGGCGGCACCACCCGGGTGTGCATGTTGTTGGGGAGCTTGATCACGTCCCGCCGGGGCTTTTGTCGCGGCCCCTTCTCCGTCTCGCCCGACTTGGCCGGAATCGCGCCCAGCTATGTCGCCACAGCGAGAACAGCCCACACAACGAACGGAGTCATAAATATCGAATCAGAAACAGAGCCTTAAATCGATCGAACGCTACGTACCCCGTAGGGAGACGCCTTGGTGATGTCGTTGATGAGGCCGCGCTTTTTCTTTGCACCGTCGGCGTCGTTAGTAGGGTGGCCACCGGCCGCGGAGCCGGAGGCACCGGCTGGACCCTTGCCACCGCCACCGCCTGCGCCGGAGGGGGCCGACGATGATGACCCCTGGTTTCCTTTGGCGGGCGCTGCGGCCTGTCCGCTGATGACGATGAGGCCCTGTTGCATGTCGGCCAGCGTGCCGTGCACCTCGCCCTCGTACACGGTGTCGGCCGTCTTCACGGTGACCGTCGCCCTCGCCTCGGCCCGCAGCCAGTCGGCGTCGTCGACCTGCAGCAGGTGGTCAAGCCCAACCCGCATCGCCGACGTCCCGGGTGTCTGCGAGGCGCCTCCTCCATACTGCGCCGGCAGGTACTGCGGCTGGGGCTGGGGCTGGGACTGGGACTGCTGTGGTCGCTGGTGGTGTTGTTGCTGCTGCTGCTGTCGCTGATGGAGCTGCTGCGCCTGGTAGTAGCTGCTCGGGCTCTGCGGCAGTGGTGGCAGCAGCTGCTGCAGCTGTTGCTGTTGTGGTGGAATCCCAGGGTAGGCACCGTACGGAAGCTGCGGTGAAGAGCCCTTGGGCGGCAGTGGAGGTGTGGCGGGGAGCGGAGGCGCGGCAGCAGCGCTGCCGTAGGGGGCGGGTGGCAAGGCGGGTGCGGCCGACTGCAGGGTGGGGAGGGAATAGTAGAGGCTGAGCGCGCCCTGCACCTCGTCGAGCGCCGCCAACATCGCCACCAGGGCCGCCTCGCCCGTCGTGTGCTCTGCCGCCCGAGCCAGCACCATGTGCACCTCGTTCAATGACCTCACCAGCTCCTACACGCATGTGTGCAAACGCGGTCAGGCTCATCTAGATGCCCCCACGCGCATCGAGATGACAAAAGGGCAACAACTGGACATCTGTTGTTTTTGTTAAATTGGAGGAGGGGGGGCAAAGGGAGGGACGAACCTGGCCGGCGGAGGAGGGGTGGGAAAATAGGGCGTGGAGGGCGGCAGGGTCGTTGGCATGCCGTCGCACCAGCTCGCGCAGCAGTCGCGCCTCCCGCAGCCCACGCTCGCGTGGGGTCTCGAGTGCACTCCTGCCTCCTCCCGCCTGCTGCTGATGGCCCTGCTGGCCGGCACTCCCCTTGCTGCCTTTCAAGAAGGAAAACATTGGTTGGGCGCGTGGCCTTACCAAGCTGTTGTTGTTGTAGCTTTCCCAGTTGTGGTGTGGAGACCACGATCGCCAACACGAAGCGCCGGCGAAAAGAAATAAAGGGAAAAGAAAAAAGAAATGTACATAAGCACGAGGCAACACTACTCTTCGGCCCAATACTACTCTGCGGCGACTCGAAGGCGTCGCTGCCGGTCGTGGTCGGATATGCCGGGGCCTTCGGGGGCGTAGGAGGCGAAGAGCCAGCTGGACCCGAACGTGAGACCCACCACGCACGCGTTGAGCAGCACCTGCACACGTACGTGGCCAAAGCAATCGCTCTTCGTTGAGCACGCGCGGCTGCAAAAACGACACACACGACCAGGCGGTGGTGAGGGGAGGGCGCACGATTTGCCCCATCCAGGGGAGAGTCTCGCTGAGGCCGCTTGCTCGGAGCATGCTCACCAGGCAGTACTGCGTAACATAAACGGGGGGCAGGGTCGGTCATCGGCCGAAGAGGAAGAGGAAGGAGAGAGAGAGAGAGAGAGAGCACTGTACCTCCCAAAAGGAGTGGGTGATGAAGACGAAGAAGAGCAGCCGCGAGGAGAGGAACGTGGGGGTCGACTCGTCGGACCTTCGCCCCTCGGAGAAGTACTTCCAGAACTGGAGAGCGAGCCACAGCACGTACCAATTGCCCAGCCTTGAAAAGAGGAGGGCATGGTGCGAGAGAGATGGTATGCCGTCTCGTTAGTCCTCTCACTCGCATCCATAAGGCTAGAACAGCGAAGCAAAGGGAAGAGGGGAGGAAAGAGGTGCCCAAAGGAAACCCGCTGGAGGCACGTGGAATAGGTGACGAGGGAGGGCGAGATGAGGATCCACTTCCACTTGGTGCCGGGAAGCGAGAGGCGCAGGAACACCTGGTGACATACATGAACCGGGTGGTGAACAGAGGAGCTTGAAAACCACAAATAAGAGCAACGAAAGGGGAGAAGACCACGTACGATGGAGAAGATGGCAAAGGCGATGACGAAGAGATTGCTTCGCTTCTTGGAGAAGAAGCCCTGGGCGGGGAGCTTGCCCTCCTTCTCGAAGAGGAGGTACATGAAGCCGAAGATGTAGAAGGCCGAGGCCGACACGAATGCGAGGCAGTAGATGCCGTAGTTCTTGTTGAGGTCCATCCGGAAGATGCCCAGGATGGGCGCCGCGAGCGGTATGACGTTGGGGTGCACCACATCGAGCGAGCCCAGGAACGCGATGTGGCCGGCCACGATCGCCAGCAGGCACGCCGCCGCGGTGCTGATGTGGCCCTTGGCCAACACCCTTCCGCAGCCGCCTGCGCCTTCGGTGGTGAGCCAGAACGAAAAGGCCTCGGGGTGCACCTCCCCTACGTCGCGACGGGCGGTGGTGTAGGCGGCGGCGCGGTCATCGACGTTCGAGTCTTCGAGCTTGGCTTTGCCCGCGGCGGCATCCGACGACTGGTGGGTGGCGTAGTTGTTGTTGCGGATGGCGCGCGACCAGAGGGTGCAGCTGGGCAGCAGGGGCAGAGAGAAGGAGAGCGTGCTGGGCAGGCGCAGGTAGGACATGAGGAATGGAGCGCCGTAGATGAGCAGCACGCCGGTACTCACGAGGACCGAGCTGAAGTAGAGGTTGGCCCAACACATGATGCACAGCGGAATCGCGGTCGAGGCCAGGAAGAAGTGGAGGCCGCTCTTGTGCCCGCCGGCCCGCTTGAGGAGCGACACGAGGCGCAGGACGATCGACAGCACCCAGTCCTGCTGCTCCGGGCCGGCCTCTCTCGTCTGGCCGTTTCTGCACAAGGCATACCAGAGCACCACCACTCCGGGAATCATGCCGACGATGACCACCAGGCTGCCCGCTAACAAGCCTGTGAACGATCGAGTAATGATTGGGTAATCAGCAAAGGCCGCCCAAGGGGTGGGCGGAGAGGGAGGGGGCCAACGGCACCAAACCACAGCCACAGAACGAGCACGGGCGTCGCAGCGGCGAAGAAGACCATCCCCATCACCGAACAAAACGATAGGTTCTGCAGCGTGTTGTAGCTGTCGAGATCCAGTCCACCTGCCCCTACATCCCGGTCGCAGCTGAGCGTTAGCTCACACAAGTGTGGCACAAACCATTGGATCAAAGTGTGCCGCACAAGGAGACAACCTGTAGAACCAGGGGCGCGGGGCTTATCGGCCTGGTAGCAGTGTCGCACAGTGCGGAACAGAGGCAGGTAGATCAGCCAGAGGAAGAAGAAGAGCGGGAACACCAGCTGTAGGTCGCCTCCGCTTGACCCAATGGCCTGCACATGACACAGTATTATAATATGAGCGAATTTTGTAGACCATGCTCACCAGAGGGAATGAAGATTCAGGAATGCCACCTTGTACATCATGCTCGTGTAGTCGCCCATGGTGAGCTCCGCGAGAGACAGGTCCCGCTGCCACATCATGACGCACACAACGGGCAACGCGGCCACGCACCCGAGGCCCAGTAACGTCACATACCTCACTGCACAGTCGCGTTGTTAGCACGCGGGCCTGCTGCACCTTCAGTCTACACAGGGGAGAGAGAGAGAGAGAAAGAGAGAGAGAGAGAGCAATGCGAACCAAACTTGTGCAAGAGGAGGGACCACACGCGGTTGGCCTCGCGTCGATGTACGAGAGTCATGAAGGCAGCTGCGCCAGCGACAAAGAAGAACAGGTTGAACGACGTGGCCAGCAGCAGGCCACCCAACACGTCCATCCATTTCTGGCGGATTGCCCCCCCCCAACAAAGTGCCAAGGGTCAGCGTTGCTTGGGGGGGGGCAAACGAAGCACGAAATGGAGCCGGGGGGGGGGTACGGTGAAGGAGCGTAGGGCGGGCAGCTGGGCCTGGGCGGGGAAGAGGCGAAGCCAGTGGGGTCGGGGCAGAACGAACCGGAGGGTGTGGGCCACGACCCAGCCCCAAACGGCCTGCCCGCGCACGCCGTCCAGCCACCCGACGTGGAGCGACTCTTCGCGCCTGCTCTCGGCCTTGGCCAACACCTGGTCGTCGCCCACCGTGCCGATGCCGCTCGAGCTTGACCCGGGCCGCAGCTGTGCCATGGCCTGACGTTCACGAAGGCTGTGAAAAAAGGCGACAACTTGAGGTTCCTCTGGGTTTGGACATGAACAGTTTTCGTTTACTTGCGTTTCCTGCGCAAACAGCAGATCCCAGAAAAAACAAAAGCAGTATCTTTCGGCCCCATACATCTACTTCGTTTCATCTTCTAGGCGGTCTCTCTCATATGCTGCAATTTTTGGATTTTAATTCTGCATCGACCACGGCCGCCACGGCAGATTGCCTCGGCGCCCCGCGCCCGCAGAACGTGAAGAAGAGAAAGAAGGAGGAAACTTCTGAAGCTACCATTGCAGCTCCTTCTCGCCTTCGAGAAGAAGGAGACGAAGATGACCAAGGCGAGGGCGCAACCGCGGAGTTGGAGCTAGAGGACCGCAAGGAGAAACGCGAGCGACGCCACACCAGATTAAGCGGTGCGGGCGCACCACCTGTCCTCCTCTGCTCTGCTAGTCCGAGCCGACCGGGATCTGTGGAGGATGTGGGGGAAGCGGAGGAAGAGGAAGAGGACTTGGGCGAAAGTAGTTCTACTGCGTCAACGTTGGCTGCAGCCCAGGTTGCTGCTGCTGCGACCCTGGAGGGCGTACCGACGGAGGTCCTGTATCTCATTCTCGGCCATCTGCCCCCGCACGAGCTGTGCCGCGTCGCGCTGGTGTGCCAGCGATGGCACGAGGCCGTGGCAGATGACTTTCTGTGGCAGCGCATCCACAGCGCACTCATCGCCCCGTGCGAGCAGCAGTCGGCAACCGCCAGCGCTGCTGCTGCAGACGGCGAGGTTTCGGCACCTCCTGCCGGCCGCGTATGGCGGCAGCGCTGCGTGGAGGTCGCATGCGCCCTGCAGAAGTACTTTGGCCTCGAACTGGGCCAGGAGGCCGACTTCACGCTCAGCCTCTCGGTTTGCTCCTGCCTCTTACTCTGCTCCTGTGTCCGATCATGTCTGACTCCTTTCGGTCCTATTTGTCGCGTTGCGTGCGCCGCGCAGTTGACAGAGACCAAGAAGATCGAGCGCGTGTATCCCAATCTGCTATGGGCGGTAAACTATGGCTACGCCCGGATTGTGGAGCGCCTGCTCGCGCGGATGGTCGCTCTCTGCCCTTCTGCCAAGCCCACCTCGGTACCTGATCACCAATCCCTCGTTCGTGTTTGGCAGCCACACTGCCGTGTCAGATGATTTCCTTTAGACTAACGAACACGGCGCGCGCGCTCGAGTAGGGTGGTGTAGTTGCTTCTCTGGTCAACTACAAATGGAGGAACACCATCTTCCCTAATTACAACTACCCTGGTAGGCACGCACCAGCCCTTTGGGTCTATGACTGCACGGTGTCCATTACTTACGCCACAGTGCCCTTATGCCACTTTTCTTCCACCAGAGTGGTTCGAGGCCACGCTCTATGAGTCGATCGTGAGATATAACGACTCGCTCCTTCACGTTGCCGCACGCAAGGGCTTCACGATGATAGTACAGGTAAGAAGGGTCGCGTTCACCTTCCTGCGGCGCCTAGCACCTTACTAAGGTGTGTGCACCATCAAGTTGCTCCTGGCGAATGGGGCGGCGCCCGACCCTCCCGCGGTAGATCTCGAAACTCCTCTCTATTTTGCTGCTCGCTTTGGCCATGTTGAGGTAGGGGCCTCCCTCGACACATGTTGGGCTGACGTGATTGTCACGTCAAGTTGTGGGTTGGTCTGACCCTTCTTTCCTCTTCCTTCCTAAGGTGCTCCGCATTCTCATTTCCCACAAGGCAGCAGTGGACTCTGTAAATACTATTGGCGGAACGTACGTTGCAGCTTCATCTATCTGGGCTTGACCATCACGAGTAAACTTTTTGTCTCACCCAACTGTTGAGCGTCACACAGGCCCTTTCATAGAGCAGTCCTGGAGGGGCAAGTCGAGGCGGCCGCCTTTCTTTTATCTTGTGGAGGTAACGCGCTTCTTTCCTCCATCATGATGGTTGTAGCAACAAGTTGGCTGCAGTTGTCTCTTGGTTTCCAGCTAAAGCTTCCTGTCTGTGGATCTACTACAGCCAACGTCGGACATAGGCAAACGCAATCGCGGCGTAATGTGCTTCATGAAGCGGTCACCACCGACCGAGTAGCGCTTCTTGAACACCTCCTTGCGCTATCGTCTTCGTCGGCCGACGACGCAGTCTTGCGCCAGTGGGAGGACCTAACGGACCAGAGTGACGAGAGCGGCTACACTCCTCTTATGCTGGCCTGCAAGAGCGGCAGCGTGGACATGGCCCGACTTCTCCGTCGCGTGCAGGTGTCCGCGGGCGGACCCGAACGTGCGGCCAATCTCTCCAACGCTGTGGCCCTCTCCCGCGCGAGTAACCACGCCGAGGCGCTGCTGGCCCTCTTCCCGGCTGAGGCTCTGCGCGATGATGCAGCTGAGGCACCGCCTCACGACCCACACCTCGAGTGATGTGTTGTTGGATGTAAAAAATAACGGTTCCCCCGCCGGGTGCCTTAGTGCCTCGTCTCTTCGCGCGAGTGGGGGAGCGACCGGCCGCACAACGCGCCGTCATTGGTTGTCGTCTCATCGGAACATCGGCTTGGTTACGCACTCGCAAGACACGGCCATGACCAGCCCCATCATCACGCCACGGTACCGTAGAGATGAAGAGCACACTCACTCCAGTCGTAGATGAGCCGCCGTAGCCGAGGCGGAAAAAAGCCCCGGGACATTGGTGCCGATTGGTGAACGGACCTCCGGTTGTCGAAGCAGTGTTGTGTCCGCTTGCGCGGGCCGACCGTTGCGGCCTCGCTGACTCCGAGCGGGGTTGGTGCGAAAAAGCCCGGGTTGGCGCACGCGCGGCCTGCTGTGCGGTACAGTCTTTTCATATAAACAACAGCAACCAAGTGCATCACACGCCAGACCGGTCACGCCGCACCCGCAACTTGCACACGGCCCAGAGACCGTGACCGCCGTTCGCCATGAAGCTGGGACACAACCGCCACCTTCTCCTCCTGGGCCTCTCTTCTGCCCTCTTGCTGCTGCTTGTGCTTGGTACGGCGTGGGTCCTCTCCAAGATACGATAAGCTTAATGTTCGTGGTGGCGGCGGCGGTTGTCCCTCTTCGTCCTTGGCGTGTCTTTTATCGATTCGTGACTACCCAATGGCCTACTGGGCGTCAGGAAGAGCGAGATCAACAAAAAAACCTACAGCTTCTTGCTGGCCAGACCCACCATCTTTTGGTGACGTGGTGTGACATGTAGACCATGTGTAACGCTCATCTGCGTGTGCTTGTTGTGTTTCTTTCAACAACAACAACAACAACAACGCAGACTCAGCGCATAGTGTGGCCCTGTATGGAGGAGGAACGTCAACCACCCTCTCCGTTTGGAACAGTTGGATAAAGGCCTACACATACTTCCGCGACGATGTCCAGTACGCTCCTTCTTCTTCGCCCCTTACTTCCTCCTTTCCCAGCTTCAACAAGTTTTGGGCCTCGTTGGCGGTTGGCGCGCCACAACATACTCCGTTTTAGGAAAATTTATCGATGCCGAAATTAAAACTATTAATACTAGTACTACTGGCTCTTGTTTGATCCCACCTCGCATTTTTGCTGCCCAGCAACGCCTGTCTGACCGTGTGTGTGGTGGTTACCACCGCACAGGGTGGCCTTTTACTCGCTCGGGACCAACTTGGCGCTGTCCAACTATGGGGCGGGCTACATCGTACGACACACCAGCCCCCGATCGTGACCCTGAGTGCCAACGTTGACCGTGTCTCTAACTGTGCTGGTCTGGCCCGGGTGGTCCTCCACCAGGATTTCATGTGCTTGGACCGAGGCATTCCCGCAGCGCAAGCAGCCCAGTACGGCGACCTGGCCCAGTTCCCCATCGCTGGCCAAGCGCTGGTTCTGGCCTACAACATCTCCACCCTCGGCTCGACCGATCCGCTGCTGGTTCGCGCTCGTGCTGTTCCTTGAGCGGCTCGTCATTTAAACTGTTTCTATTTATTAACGCGCCGGCTGTTGGACCACCCACAACAACAGATCCTCGATCGGGATACTGTCGGGCGCATTTTTGCGGGCAACATCTCCATGTGGGACGACCAGGCCATCCAAGACCTCAACCCGCTGCTGGTCGGGAAGCTGCCGCCCCTCAACATCACCATCGGCTATTCCGACAATGCGGGGATCAGCGTGCCGGAGGTGTTCAAGCGCGCGCTGGTGTCGTTCAGCCCCCTTTTCTCGGATGCGCTCGACGCCGCTGGTGGTCTGTTCTCGGCCATGCCTCCGGCTCTGCGGGGCACCGGCTTTTCTGCCGGCACCAGCTCGACCAACCGCCTCACGTGGCTCAAGGTACACACTTCTCAGCAGCAGCAGCAGCAGCAGCAGCAGCAGCAGCACACATCTATGTAGCTGACACCACGCGTGTTACACTCTCATGTTGGTGCAGGCACGCACGAACGCGATCACGTTTGTGAGCTACGCCGATGCGGTCACGTCCGGGGTCAAGTATGCCCAAATGTACAATAGGGAGAACGTCCTCGTGACGGCCTCGAGCACCACCGTGCAATCGGCGATGGCGGCCTTCCTGCCCGAGTTCGGCCAGAGCAACTTCACCGTCGACATTTACGATGCGGAGGGCACCAACAGCTGGCCTCTCGCCTTGATGTCCTACGTTTCGCTGAATCGCGACGTGACTGCAGTCGATTGCAATGTCGTGCGCGAATTGCTCAACTTCGTCGCTTGGATTCACACCAACGATGGGTACGCCCCCCCTCCCTCCCTAGCCAACTTCTCCAGTACATGACTTCCACTTCTAATCACATCACGTTCGCGTGATCACTTGTGTACTTTACCAGTGCCTCGCAAGCCTTGCTCGACCTCAACTTTGTTCCGCTGGACGTGACCCTGCGGAAGCGGCTGATCGATCTGCTCAACACGGTGGCGTGTAACAACGAGCAGGCCTACACGACGAACTACCTGGTGGGCGTTGGCCCTGCCCTGCCCCTGTACACGGGATGGTCTGTGGCGCGCAGCTCCTCGCTGGACAACAAGGTCAAGTACTACCTCGCCTCGGCCTCCACCGAGGCCCCCGAGCAGCTGGCCTCTTACGACAGCGATTTTGGTGCTTCGAACAGCGGAGTCAATTCTTCGTGGTTGTCGACCATTCCCGACCTCGCCGTCTTGCCCATCACTGCCTATGCCACAGTGCCTGGTATGACCTCGACATTTCGACTTTAGCTCCGATTGACAGTGATGCCCTCGGCTTATACCGCACCGCGCTTGTTGTGTACACGCGATGCATCGCAGGCTACAACATTCCCGAACTGAAAAACCACACGCTGGTGTTCACTTTCGAGATCCTCGCGGGGATCTACATGAACAACATCACGATGTGGGACGACTACAGGATCAAGGCTGTCAATACGGCCGAAGTGGCGGCGCTCCTTCCCGCCCAAGTCATCTACGTGTGCCTGCAATCTACGGCGTCCGAGACCACCCTCCTCTTCACGTCCGTCCTCAGTGCCGTGGTGCCCGAATTCGCAGCAGCTGTACGACGCCCAAATATATATATATATGTATATATATATATTTCTATGCGTTGTGTGCGAGTACTGACTGGTCATGAGCTCTCAATCACCAACTGCTGACTCTCGCGACCCGCCGAACGTGCAGGTCGGCAGTGGCTCGCTCGTTAGCTTCCCGGTTCAGGTCGGCACGGGCAATCGCACGCAGAGTGCCGCCGATGCTCAAGCTCTCGTGCGCGATCTTATCTTCACCTCCTATGCCATTGGCTTCGTCCGACTCGACGCCATCAAGCTGGTGCGTGACCCCACTACTACTCTCCCTCTCTGTTCACCTTTTTGCTCCCGCTACTGTCGTCGGAGCTGACACCCCTCGGCCGCGCGAAGTCGTCGAAATACTTGGCCGCCGCCTCGTTGAGGAACCCTGCCGGCAATGTGGTCGCGCCCAACACCACAACAGTGACGAGCGCCATCAACGACTTCCTCTCCAATAGCTCATACGCCTACGAGTCCCTCGCGCTCGGTATTTCAGACTCTACTACGCCTCCTTTTCTTTGCGCGGTATGGGGCTCACCCTTTCTTCCGGTGAATTGCATTGTGGTGGTGGCTGGGTGTGCAGGTCCGGGCGCCAACAGCTGGCCGCTGGCTACCTTTGGGTCGTTCTTCTACCACCAGTCCACAATGCAATCTTGCGCCAAAGCCAAAGCCCTCGCCGACTTCTTCTACTGGACGCAGACCGATTCCAATGCGGTGTCCCTTGCCGACACGTACCCTCTCCTCCGCTCCAGTCACAACCGCAAACGCATTCGGGCGAATCGTGCATGGTCTAACACTGGTTTGGGTGAATGCAGGCAAGGCTACATCTTGGCCTTGACGATCGAGCCTGTCAGGCGGCAATTCCTCACCCTGCTTAAGGAGTTCACCTGCGACGACGTGAGCGTGAGCAGCATCGCGCCGTGCATCAACGACGGCACGTTGTGCTCCGATGCCGGCACCTGCACGGAAAACGTCGGCTGCGTATGCAACACCGGACGCACGGGCACCTACTGCCAGGACCTCGTCGCCGACAGCAGTTCGACCAACGAGTCACTCATCGTCGCCCTGAGTACCTTAATCTCCCTCAAGCCTCTCCCTTTTCTCTGCGATCTGCGGGTGGTTGTTGTTAACCCCCTTCTCTCTCTCTCCTCCCCCCCTCTCCCCAAGGTGTGGCGCTGCCGGCGGCTGCCGTGCTGTTCCTGCTGCTGGCTTGCATCATCCTGCTGCTCCTGTTGGTCCTGTTCAGGCGAAGGGACCGCGACGATTGGGAGATCCAGTACGAGGAACTCGAGGTTGGCGACGTGCTCGGCACCGGCGGCTTCGGCGAAGTATACCGGGCGCTGTGGAAGGGTACCGAAGTGGCCGTCAAGGTCATGGCCTCGGAGAAGGCCTCCAAGGACATGGAGCGGAGCTTCAAGGACGAGGTACGTCGCACCGCCACCGACCTCTTCCTCGGCCACCGCCGGTGATGGGTGAATGCTCACATCATTGGGTGAATGATCAGGTGCGGGTGATGACGGCGTTGCGGCATCCCAACGTGGTGCTGTTCATGGCCGCGTGCACCAAGCCTCCGAAGATGTGTATCGTGATGGAGTTCATGTCCCTGGGATCCCTCTACGACGTACGCTCCCCGATCGAGCTAAGGGATCTAACTGGCTACAGCCACACAATTAATTGCTCACATTCTTCTCTTTAAACAGCTGCTGCACAACGAGCTTATTCCTGAAATTCCTTTCGCGCTGAAGGTACGGGGGGGGTTGCGTGTGGCGGGTGGGGGCATTTTCGTATTCGCCGAGCGTAGTTGGCTAATGCGTAGTTGTTCGTCCCAAAGGTCAAGGTGGCCTACCAGGCCTCCAAGGGCATGCACTTTTTGCACTCATCGGGCATCGTTCATCGTGATCTAAAGTCCCTCAATCTTCTGCTGGATTCCAAGTGGAACGTCAAGGTAAGGCGCAACGCCAATACGCAACGCTCCCACACAGTGCCCACTCTCTCACACGGACACGTCTAAAATTTGTTTACAGGTGAGTGACTTTGGTCTGACCAAGTTCAAGGAGGACATGAAAAAGGGCGATGCGAAGAACATGGTGGGCAGCGTGCATTGGACCGCGCCGGAGATCCTCCAGGAGACCCCCGACGTGGATTCCGGCCGAGTACACGGACATCATCACCAACTGCTGGCACACGGACCCCAGCGTGCGACCGACGTTCCTCGAGGTGATGACGCGCCTCAGCGGGATGGTGGGCGACGCCACCGGTGGCGCGTCGGCCTCGTTCACCTCGACGTCGTCCAAGGGCGGCAAGAGCATCTACGGCTCGTCGTGGTCCGTTCCGGGCTCCTCGACCAACAGCACCAACTCGCGCGGCAGCAAGAGCTCCCAGTCGAGCAACTCGTCTCAAAGTGGCGTGGAGGGCGCCGCGGCAGCGACCGACATGCGCCCGCCCGAGGGCGACATCACGATCGTCTTCACCGACATCTCGCGCGCCGCATCGCTGTGGGAGTTCAACCCGATCGCCATGCGCGACGCCACGGTGCTCCACAACGGCACCCTCCGCGGCCTGCTCAAGCGCCACCGGGGCTACGAGGAGGTGTTCAC